GAAAGCTCCACTGGCTGAGCCCCCTCCCCCTCTGTTTTGGCTTTTTTTTTTATACATATATACATGCATATGCTGGATTTTTTTCCTCTCTCTCGTATATTCCTGTAACGTTTTTAAAGGAAGGGGGTCATTCCTTGCTTATTGATTGCGTGGATGCTGGATGTGAAAATATATTATGTCTGCCTGTGCTTTGCTCGTCAGAGACTAAGGTAAGCCGGACTCAAATAGGCTATCACTTTGTGAATGGCGGAGTATATGTCCCAATGATTTATGACCATATGACTCCAATCTCGGTTCAAGAAGAGTTCACAAGCTTTAAGCTTCCTTCCACGCAGAGACTCTTTTGCAGCCCTCATCCAGGGCCCTTTTTTTCCCCCCTGCTTTACAACTGGGGAGTTCTGGTTGGGGTGAAGCTCGGTTGTGGGGGGAGGGAAGAGGGAAATTTTAGGAATGTGTCTCTGTTTTCCAGGCATATCCACCGCAAGGCAGTCGCTGGGATTTGAGCTCTTTCTGAGCAGGCGACCTATTGTTAAGGGCATGTTTGGAATATTTATTATTAATAATAATTTAAATTAAAAGCGGGGCTACGCCTGGTTTCGCCGGCTCTGGGAAATAAACCTTGGGAGGGGGCGGGGGGAGGGGAAAGGCGCTGCTCTTCTTCATAAACACAGTCAGGTTGGGAATTTAGGATTTCCAACATGGAGGGGACGGCTTTGCAGGAGAATACCTCTGCCTTAGATTTCTTTCACCTTTTTCCCCCGCCTGCCTGATTTTTTTCCCGAGCATCCTCCTCCCCGCAGCCCTTTCCCTCTCGCACCTTCCCCCGACTTTTTTTTTTTCCCCCCCTCTTTTAAATGTCTCTAAATCCTCGCACTCCAAAAAGTTGCAGGCAAAGAGTTCGTGGTTAAATGTTACCGCTCACAAAGTGAAACTTGGAGCGTGATGAAACAGCCAGCGCGGATCCTGCCCGGGTTTAATTGGAACAGGAGATAATCGAATATTTATCATTCTGCCTGAGATTTTTTTTTTTTTTTAAACAATTCCTTGGAGTAAATAATTAGGATTGCGGCCGTCCTCGGCGAAGATAAATGAGCGGCATTTGTGAGGCGCTGAGAGACGAGGTACAAAGCAAATCTTCTGTGGAAGCCACAAGCGAGCGAGCTTTTGGGCAAAGGGGATTGTAAATTTATTTTATGGCCATTTAAAAAAAAAAAAATCGTCGCTGTTATTTTTAGCTGCTTTAGCTGAGCCTCTCTGCTCGGTTCTGGTTTGGGTTTGTTTTGTTTTGGTTTTTTTTTTTTTAAGAAACCTATGCCAGACAGGAAGGCCTTGGAGAAATTCCCACCTCTGCCCTCGTAGATATTTTCAGCAAACCTATTCATAATAAAGGCGCTGCTGTTTGTTAATTAATTCACAGCTTCTCGGCTCGGGCAGTGGAGTCTACTTTTTAATAAGACATATTTATCATGGCAAGGAAAGCAAATGAGAATAACTCCCAGCAAGGATATCATCCTCTCTGTAGACAATAATACATCTCTGTGGAAGATACAATGCAGATTTGGGAATGCATAAAGGATTTAATCAGTGTAAAAAAGCGAAGCGGTCCCTTCGTGGACGCGTTGTCTGAGGCTGTGTTAAGTATACGGAGGTTTCATGTGACACCACATAAGAACACAGCAGTCAGGGAAGGGAAAAAAAGATGTTATTTATTGTCGAGCTACGGCTTCTGTTAAACCCCACTACTTAGAAATATCGCATTAGACTTTATCTCCACAGAGTTTATTTTATTTTATTTTAGAGAATGAAAGAGCCCAGATAAAATTAAATATACAATAGATACAATTAAATATACAATGGATATCAATTTCAAAACAAAATGCACAGTGGCTCCTCGCAAACTCTGAGCTGCAGAGAGAAGTCACTGCCTTTTTAAAATATGTTTGCTGCTTGATTGATCCTCACACATCAGATTATTTTCAGGTCAAGGTAGTTTTCATATTTCTAAGGGTGTTTCTGCTCTGCCTTTATGGCAGAGAAAGTTTATGTTTTGAGAAAAGAAAGAGAAAGAGAGAGATGAAGAAAAATAAAAAGGCCAGAGAGAGAAAGAAAAAAGGAAGGTTTCATTTTGTATTTTGGGGGTTTGGATTGGGTTTTTAGACTTTTTGAGCTTGGATTGAGGGAGGGAGGAACAATGAAAAATCAAAGGGTAGAAAGTTAAGAGCAAATGGCCTGGTGATGGGTTTGTTTTCCAAGGAAAAAAACCAACAGCAATTAAACTGGGTTTAGAATCACATCTTGCCAATGGTAGTTCCAGATTCAAGACCGATGAGTACAAAGCAGTGCAGGCAACGAAGGGGGACGTTTTCTAAACACAACCTGTGCTACCAGAGCGAGAGCCTAGCAAACAGGCCAAAGGAAGCACATTCTTGAATTCGTGCCCCTGTTTAAATCTGCTTAAAATATTTGCACTGAATTCCAAAGACATTGTGTAAACAGCAAATCAAGCCAACTGTGTCAGGACACCGTTACCTGCATAAAACATATTGACTATTTGCTGTTTCCAGTTTAAAAACAAATATACAGGACAGAGGCCCTACAATAAACTTAGCGGGCTTTTAATTTCGGGTGATAGAACGCCTTGCTGTTTTTCATGTGTGTGAACGGCTGATTTGAATAGGTCAGGGGTAAGAAAGCAAGACTTTCATTCCTTTCATGCTTGTAGCTAGCAATTATCCATTCTGTATTCCTACATTTACGTTAATGTGCGTGCTATCTGGACACGGGTGTGTATACGTGCACGCGACGCACACAGCTACATGCGTATACACGCACACATTTGTACGGGAGCATATGTGTATGCTTGGGGGTGTGTATATATGCATATAGATAAATATAGAAGTAAATAGACGTACACAGATGAAACCACGTGCACTTATAGAGCATGTGTGTAGTTACACATCTCGGGCGCTATCCTCTGAGGGAAAACCAGGGGCAACCAACCGACCAACCAGGAAAACTACCCCCCAAAATCAGCTCAACGCTCTCGCACTGTAACATTTGTTGAGCTTCCTTAGGCTGCACACAGGACAAAATCTGCTCAAAGCATCTGTTCGCCCTGTTCTGCGGGACCCTATTCATGTCATGGGCCTTTCAGGCCCCAAGATGGATTCATAGGCCGGGTACTATTATTGTGTGTTTTCTCCTAACCTTTCAGGTCAGCTTCCAATAGACAGCTGGAAACGGCCTGTCACGTGGCCTTGGGGTGCCAATGTTCTGCCATAGGGGTGTCAAGACCCTGGTAGCCGCAAAAATCGTTTTGGGGAGTCCCAGAGATGCAGAAGACAACGTACTACGACAGCTCCACGCTCTTTGGGGGTTACTCCTATGGGAGTGCCAATGGGTTCGGCTACGAGGGTCCCCAGCAGCCCTTCCAGCCAGCCTCTCACGTGGAGACCGACTACCAGAGGTCCGCCTGCTCCCTCCAGTCTCTTGGCAACACAACCCCGCACGCAAAAAGTAAAGACCTGAATGGGAGCTGCATGCGTCCAAGTTTGCCCCAGGAGCACCATCCGCCTCCCCCCGTCTCGCCGCCCCCAAACCCTGCCACCAACAGCACCAGTAGCAACAGCAATAACCAGTCGGGGAGCAGTAAAACTGCCCCCAGCAAAGCCAACCTCAGTGCGAACGCCAGTCTCACCAAGCAGATTTTCCCCTGGATGAAAGAATCGAGGCAAAACTCCAAACAGAAAAACAGCTCCCCTAGCACAGGTACACTGTTCTGCTTTTGTAACCCTCTGCTTTCCTAAACAGTGAGGTGACGAAGCCACTGGCTGGAGCGGTCTTGTTTGGAGGGAGGGGAGAGGGGGAGAGGGTGCAGTGAGGATGCAGTGAGGATGCAGTGAGGATCCAGTGAGGATCCTGGTGCTGGACATGATCCCAAGGCTGCCAGCAGCATGCCCCAGCCAGGCTGAGTGAGCCTTGGCCCATCCTGCAGCACTGACTGCGCACACTTGGTTTATTTTAAACATATCCAGAGCACCACAGGGAAATACAACCAGGCAGTTGTACACAGCCAATGTCTGACTGTGTAGGTACAGATACAGGAAAATGTACACCCACTGCTCAACCTAGCGATGCTAAAGCAGAGCGCTTGTTCTCTTCCCACCTCCCTGCCTCCAGACACAGCAGCAAACACGGTGGTCTCTGCGTGTACGTGCGCATGTATAAAGCATATGCATAAACACATGGATATTCTTGCATGCATACACGCCCACCTCTAACTCGATTGAGAAAAAAAATCAGTATGGAAATATCACTGTTGTGACAAATATATTCGTATAAACTTTGCAGTGCACACTTCACTGTACGTTAGTGTAATTTATCAGTTGCATACACTTTTATCTCACAACAAGGTAGGTACAAATGCAATTCGGTGTTTAACAATGTACACGCAAGTATTTGTGTTACACAAATACACAACACACACAAGATGTGTGCGTGTGTGTTCGTACCTCGGCAAACAGAGCATCTCCCAACGCTGACCCGTGTTAGTGTTAATTGGCTCTGCGGCGACTGCCCCCCTGCCAAATATTATTTTCTCAAAATTATCTGTTGGAAGTAATCGACTCCTAAACAAATGGCCCTGGAATCCTTTTCTACATGACATGATCAAATTTTCATAAACCAGGGGCAGCTTTGGAGAACAGAACTCTTAATAAATGACATGATTATGGAGTGCAGGCTAATGCAAAGGGGTGAGGGAAAGGGGGGTCGAACTCTCGTGCCTGTTCCAGGATTTATTAAGAAACGATGCATTCAATTTCTGCATGTAAGTAATTATCTTTTATTTCATTTCGCGGCCAGCAGAAACCTGCAGCGGCGAGAAAAGCCCCCCAGGCTCCTCGGCCTCCAAGAGAGCCCGCACAGCCTACACCAGCGCTCAGCTGGTGGAGCTGGAGAAGGAATTCCACTTCAACCGCTACCTGTGCAGGCCCCGCCGCGTGGAGATGGCCAAACTGCCTGAACAGTTTCATTTCTGTGTTGCTTCTCCGAGAGGCAGATCAAGATCTGGTTCCAGAACAGGAGGATGAAGTATAAGAAAGACCAGAAGTCGAAAGGCATGGGGTCTTCCTCTGGAGGGCCTTCCCCCACCGGCAGCCCGCCCCAGCCCATGCAATCCTCCGCCGGATTTATGAACGCCTTGCACACCATGAGCAGTAACTATGATGCCCCCTCGCCGCCTTCCTTCAATAAACCCCACCAAAATGCCTATGCCATGTCAACTAACTACCAAAACCCCATCAAAGGCTGCCCCTCCCAACAGAAATACGCCAACACGGCCCCCGAGTACGACCCCCACGTCTTACAAGGGAACGGGGTGGCCTACGGGACTCCCAGCATGCAGGGAAGCCCCGTCTATGTTGGAGGTAACTATGTGGATTCTATGCCCGCCTCTGGCCCGTCCCTTTACGGCCTCAATCACCTGCCGCATCACCAGGCTGCCAACATGGACTACAGCGGGCCTCCGCAGATGCCCCCGAGCCAGCACCACGGACCATGCGAGACCCACCCCACCTACACAGACCTTTCCACGCACCACGCTTCTTCTCAGGGCAGAATCCAAGAGGCGCCCAAGCTGACCCACCTGTGATAGGGAGCGGGGACAGGCTCAGGCGAAGCGGATGGGACCTCGCCACGGGGCATGGGAGAGGGGAAGAGGGCAGGATCGGCTTCAGGAACATTTGTGTTGAGCTCTTTTCTTTCTTTCTTTCTTTCTTTGGCAGGGCAATTTCTACCAGGTTGTTGTGCTTGCTATTCTTATTTCTGAGTTTTATTAGGCACAATTTCCAACCCTTTCGGTATTTACTGCCAAGAGCAGCTCTCTCTCTGAAGAGATATACCTCCTGTGTTTCAACACAAATGCTTCTGAAATGGGTTTGGGGTAGTTTTGTGGGAATCTAGCAGATTTTTAGCAGCAGCAGCATCCTGCATTTCCAAAGCAGCTTCAGATTGTCACTGATAGTTCTCGGACACTGGAAAGGAGAATAGTCAGCCAGCCAAGCCTTTACAGTTGGTGTCTCTGCATCTACGGAAACATGCACACGTGTACACGTATGCAATCAGAAGAGATTCGCAAGAAAACTACCCTCCTCTCCGATTCCTCCTCAAGAGGAGCCTCGCGCTCTCCTTTCCAGCCATCAGAGGAAGGCCATCCATCTTTTTTCGCTGAGTAACTTCCCACCAGTCCCCACCTCAACTGCAAATATACACACCTGCCAACGCGTGGGATTCAAGC